GAAGGAAGGGGAAGAAAGAGACAAGGGCGGTGAAGGTGAAGGTGTCGGCAGCCATAGCCGAGGTGGAAATTGACCGGAAGGTTGACCGGGTGTTGACCGAAGGTTGACCGGGTGTTGACCGAAGGTTGACCGGGGTCATGCAGCGTTGACCAAGGAGTTGACCGGCGCCGTTGACCAAGGCTTGGACCAAGCTGGAGTTGGTAATATCTCGCCAAGCCCTTAGCCTACCCCTTTACCCTATGGATGTGCACTCTCCCTACGATACTTGTTGAGCCTGAGTCTGTTTGTCTCTTCTTTCTGCATCGAGTCTCTTCTGTCCTAAGTGGTAGCACTCTGTGGATGAAGGATAGTGCTTGGATGACGAAACCTTAGTCTGACCTTGTAGGGCTGAGGTTGTGGCTGATCCAACTTTCTAGGGGGGCATAACCCTCCCAAGGACTGGTGCTGACCGGCTGGAAACGGTTGGTAGGACTCAGTGGGCCTGAACGGCAGCTAAGGCTGACACACCAGGCAGTCTTTAAGTGTTGAGGGCCTGTTTGAACCACTCCCCTACCGGACCAAGTAAGGCTGAGGATCTGTGTCTGACGACTCGACTGTACCGGGGGATACGAACCCTCCCAAGGACCGGTACAGACCGGCGGGCTGCTCGGTGTGGCACACTAGGCCGGAAAGGCTGAGTTGTGGGCTGAAAGCACAGGCAAGAACCAAGCTGATCATGTCGTCCTGTCTGCGACGTTAAAGAATTCTTGCGGAGTTTGGGGGATCTCCTTAAATGCCTCCAGATCAGTTGTTGGTTCAGTAGTGACAGCCTTAGAGTAGGTCCAAATTAGTGGCCATAGTTGACAGGGTTCCACCCTGTAGTCCTTAGAGAGTCAGTCAATGGGTCAGTGTCCGGGTAGGTCTAAGTGGTGAGGAGTGGGACTCCTTGTCGTGCACCTGACACCACCATGGATGACTATCCGATGTATGGGTTACTCGTTGGGTTCTCCTTGTGGGGGACCCTTTGGCGTCTCCTCTTCCCCTTGGGGTTTTGGCCCACGCTCACATGTAGAGTAGGAACCCGGGGTGGTACCTCCACTACACCTTACACAAAGGAAGAGGAGGAGAAGATGGCCGCCATTTTGAGGGAAAGGAAAGAGAAGAAAGAGGCCAAGAAGAAGGCCCTACAGGAGGAGCAGGCGGCAAAGTTGAAAAAGATATAGGAGGAGATGGCCAGAGAGAAGGAGAGGTTGAAGAAAGAAGAAGAAGCGAAGTTGAAGGAGGTGGAAGAAGAAGAGGAGGAAGATGACCAGCCACTGGAAAGGAGGAAGGAGCAGCGAGAGGAGTACAGTGGCAGCAAAGGTGAGGAGATGGAGAAGAGGATCTCAGAATGGGTCGCCAACTTATCCTTGGGAGAAGAAGAAGAGGTAGTCATGTACGTCCCCAAGGATGAGCAGGAAGCCGCTATGAAGGAGTGGGAAGCAGAAGGAGATGTTATGAAGCGGCAGGCGATGGAAGATGAGAAGAGAATGGAGTGGAAGTTAAGGATGATGAGGGAGAAGAAGAAGAGGGTGGACGCGGCGAATGAAGCGGTCAAAGATCTAGAGGAGGTACAAAAACTGACTCTACGATTGACCCCTCAGGTAGATCTCCAACAAAACGTAGAGATCATTGCCCAAAGTGTTGAGCGTTTAGCCCGGGTACAGGAACAACAATACGAGTTTAGTCGAAGTCAAGATATGGTCGTGCGCTCGATGCGAATGGGACTTCGGGACTTCGCTCGCAAACTGGTAGGCGCAGTAGGAGCCGAGGTGAATCATCGTCTCGAGAAGACTGAACGCTTCTGCGTCGGTGCCATTGAAGGCGTCAAGGCGGCAGCTCCCAAGGAGGAAGAGGCACGTCCTCGCAGGGAGCCAGTCAAAGTCAAGTTCCCTAATTCCTACAGTGGAAAAAGGGAACAAAACTTTGACAATTGGGAGGCCAATGTCAAGACCTATGTGCATTTGCAACAGGTCTCCCCAGATCAGTACGTGTTGATTGCGATTCATGCGCTTAGAGATGAAGCCGCCAGTTTCGCGAGGTCCCTAGTCCGCTCTGCCAACTGCAACGATGATGCAGTTGCTTACTCATCATTCACCCCCCTCGTGGATTTCATGAAGTTGTTGCGCGAGCGATTTGCTGATGTCGCTCGTAGTGTCAAAGCCTCAGATAAACTCCAAACAATCCATTCTCGTAAGTGGAAGAGCGCCAGGGCACTTAAGAGCACAATGGACGAGTTAGTGGTTGTACCTGACCACGGGGTCACCGACACCCAGTTGGTCGGCCTCTTCTATCGGGCTATGCCCGAAGCCTTTCGAGGGCATTTCTTCGCGAAGAGCGAAGACCCTGCCACCACGGCCCGTGAAGTGGTGGCCTTCGAGGCGAAGTCGGTGTCAGTTTCTACATTCTGGCACAAAGACTTAGACAAAGGAAAGCAATGGAAAGGTTGCACTATCTCAGGGCAAGTTAAGACTAAGTATAGTCTTGTCCTAACTTTAGACGAAGGTAGCGTCGGCGAGATCCCCTATGAACAGATTGAATGGGGGTTAGAGGATGAGGACAGCGGTGCGAGTCAGGGGAGAACTTACGCTGCTGTCGCGGCTGGAGGGAGGCCGCAAGGAGGAGGACGAGGCCAGGGCCAAGGGGGCCGAGCCTCAGGGAGCCGGTTTCAGGGCGATCAAGGGGTTGGCGGCAGAGGAGGAAACCGCCAAGCGGGAGGAAGGGGTCAAGGTCCCCCGCTAAATCGTCCTAGGAATAGGTCTCCCTATAGGTTAGGTGGATGGCACCCAGGGCTACCGCAGGGTAGGCCTTGGGAAAGTTTGGGTCTGGACCAGAGCTTATGGCAACAGCGTCTGGACCGGGGCCAGTGCATTTACTGCGGTGACCCGGGCCATATCATTAAATATTGTCCTAAGTTTAGAGAGACCCGGACGGTTGCTCAAGGGCCAAAAGGCAGTCGCCGGTAGGGGTAGCAACTGCCCCTACCATTAGGCCATGTGGGGAAAATAGTGTTAGCCGGCAGGAGACTCCCACACCACATGTGCCTATGGCAGAGGTTGCAGGCCGGTGTCTACAAAGCTGTCCAGAGACTGCTTGTGTTAGAGTCTCTCTGGACACCTCCCTCACAGGCGTGGCTGAAGAATTGAAGGAGAGGATGCCCACCTGGGCCAAGATGAAGAAGGAGAATAAAGGGCAGCTTATATTAGTAGACACAAAGATATTTAGAGGACGAGTAGGCGCCTTAGTGGATAGTGGAGCCACTCGTAGTTATACTTAGTAGGAAGGCATTGCAGAAGCTGAAGTTGCAACTGAAAGTCCAAAGATTGGCAGACCCCATAGTAAGTATCCTCGCGGACAATCGCACTATGCAAGTAGAGGAATACGTAGAGAGAGTCCAGGCGTATTTCCGCCTAGAAAAGGATGGGAAAGTGGAGAAGGTTCTTCATTCCCTGGCTCTCCTCGTAGAGGACAGCCTCCCGTTTGACATAGTCGTAGGTATGGACTGGGGAGAGGCAGCAGGGGCCACACTCCATTTGAGAGAGCACGAGTGTAGGCTCCCTAGCCCGTCAGGCGATGTCAAGACAGCCCGCCTGCTCCATGTGTCAAGGGTAGACAACTCTCTGGCGCATTGCTGCCTTAGTGCTCCTGCGTTTGCAAGGCTAGTGAAAAAGGAGCAGCTAGAGGAACAGGTCTTTGTGGCCTATGTTAGGCCAGTTACTGAGCCTAAGGAAGAGAGACCTATAGACCCTGCTATTGCCAAGCTGTTGGAGGAGTTTAAGGATCTAACTGAGTCGCCGATAGGAATGGTACCGCGGCCTATCCAGCACCGGATTGAAATTGAGCCTGGCAGTAGAACTCCTAAAGGAGCCGTGTATAGGATGTCCCCGTGGGAATTAGAGGAGCTTCGCAAACAGTTGGACGAGCTCCTTGAGAAGGGTTGGATTAGGCCCAGTTCGTCTCCCTTTGGAGCACCTGTCCTCTTTGTCCCCAAGAAGGAGGGAGAACTGCGAATGTGTATAGACTATAGGGGTCTTAATGCTATTACAGTGAAGAATGTTGAGCCACTGCCTAGAATAGACGATCTCTTGGATCGAGTGCAGGGGGCAAAGTACTTCTCCAAGATAGATTTGAAGTCCGGATATCATCAGATAGAGGTGCATCCTGATGATCAGTATAAGACAGCCTTCCAGACTATATATGGGCACTATGAGTTCATAGTGATGCCCTTTGGACTAACCAATGCGCCAGCGACGTTCCAGCGTTGTATGAACGATTTGTTTAGGCCATGGTTAGATAGATTTGTTGTTGTCTACTTAGATGATATCTTAGTGTTTAGCAAGACCCTCAAAGAACATCAAGGTCATCTCAGGCAGGTCTTGGAAAAGTTGAGAGAAGCTAACTTCAAGATCAATGCAAAGAAGTGCGATTGGGCGAAGACCCAAGTTTTATATTTAGTCCACGTCTTAGACGGAGACGGCGTTAAGCCAGAAGATTGTAAAATCACAGCGATTAGAGATTGGCCCACGCYGCGTACGCTGACGGAGTTGCGGTCGTTCTTGGGCTTAGCCAATTACTATAGGAAGTTCGTGAGGAACTTATCGCTGCGCCCCTTCACAGATTGTTGAGGAAAGAAACCATCTGGAAGTGGGATAAGGACTGCACGGCTGCCATGAAGAAGTTGAAGCGGGCGCTGATAGAATACCCAGTCATTAAGGTAGCCGATCCGTCCTTACCCTTTTGTCGTCACTATGGACGCTAGTCAGTACGGCATAGGTGCGGTGTTGCAGCAAGATGATGGCAATGGTTATAGACCCGTCGAGTTCATCTCCGCTAGGATGCCTTCAGAGAAGGTTGGGACATCTACCTACGAGAGGGAACTCTACGCTCTCAGGCAAGCATTAGAACACTGGAAGCACTACTTGCTTGGGAGGCACTTCAAAGTCTATTTCGACCACGAAACGTTAAGATGGTTGAAGACGCAGGCCAAGATGACACCTAAGCTTACGAGGTGGGCCGCAAAGATAGACCAGTAGGATTTCGAGCTCAAGCCAGTCAAAGGGAAATATAATGTAGTTGCGGACGCCCTGAGTAGAAGAGCAGACTACTTTGGAGCCATAGTTCACTATCTGGACATAGGAAAGGACCTGCAGCAAAAGGTCAAGGAGGCGTATGCGCAGGACCCTATCTATAGTGACCTCCTCAAGAAGGTCCAGGAGGCCCCAGAAACCGAGCCAGATTACCGCACTACTGAAGGGTTGCTTTTCGAGAAGACTAATGTATTTGACCGATTGTGCATTCCCAATAGTGAAGAGATCAGTAGTCTAATCCTGGGAGAATGTCACGACACAGAGGGTCATTTTGGTTGGCAAAAGACTCTAGCCAACCTAATGCACGTGTACACCTGGCCGGGGATGAAGAATGATTGCATAGAATATGTTCGCAGTTGTAAAGTTTGCCAGCGAAATAAGACCACTACGTGTGCCCCGCTAGGTCTTCTCAGACCCTTACCTATCCCTGATCAGCCCAAAGATTTGGTGTCCATCGACTTCATGGACGCGGGCGTCAAGAGCAGACATGGCAAGAGCCAAGTCATGGTGATAGTCGATAGATTTAGTAAGTATGCTATTTTTGTTCCTTTGCCTTCAGAGGCACGAACAGAGTTAGTCATTCATAAGTTTTTTGATCATTGGGTCAGTGAGCACGGGGTCCCATTGTCCATAGTCAGCGATAGAGACACCCGGTTCACGAGTCAGAACTGGCAGGAGTTGATGAAAGTCTATGGCTCTAAGTTGCTAATGTCATTTGGCCGTCATCCAGAGACCAACGGCCAGACGGAACAGATGAATAAGATCCTGCAGCAAGTTCTGAGAATGTACATTAGACCAGATCAAGTCGATTGGGATGAGATGCTCCCCAAGGTAGCCAATGCTTACAACAAGAGCGTCCATCTGTCTACGTGCCGCACTCCCAACGAACTGCATAAGTCCTTTAGGCCGCACAGACCATTTGAGGGACTTAATCGGGATCAGATTCATAGGCTACCGCCCGGTACTAGGGAGTTTGCTATACAACACGAGAAATAATTAGCTACCGTTGTAGAGAACCTCAGAAAGGCCCAGCATAGGATGATAGGGCAAGCCAACAAACATCGTCGCCCCTCACAGTTCCAAGTAGGCGACTTAGTCTGGGTCAGCGCTAAAGAGTTTGCTCCTGAGGAAAACATCTCGCAGAAGTTACTGCCTACGTATCGAGGGTCATGGCCCATTCTAGAAGTCAAAGGTGGCGAGGATGGTCCGTCCTACACCGTGGAGCTTCCACTACACCTCCACACCTACCCAGTTTTCCACGCGTCAAAGTTGTTGCCATATACAGTGAGTGATCAATTCCCGTCTAGATGATCCATGATCCCACCAGGCATGGACGGAAGGTATGACATTGACGGCATTGTAGATGAAGATGTGTTTAGGACAGGGGGTAGAGGTCGTCCCCAAAAACAGTACAAGGTCCGATTTGCTTATCAGGAACCTGAAGACGACCGGTGGTTTACTAGATCTGAACTTCTAGAAACAGCTCCCGATATAGTTCACGCTTATGAACGGGACAAAAAGGGTAAATGTCCCGCCTTGGACTGAAACATTCTCGGAGGACCTCGAATTCAGGCCGGCGCGAAGAAAACGGTATTCACCAGTTTGCAGTAGCTGATGCAGACCCCAGGGCTCGATCCCTAGTTCCCCACCCTACCTGTGTACAGTACCTGTGTCAACCCGTAGATTTGAACCTGCGACCTGTAGGACCGCCAGTGGTAGGTAGGGTCTCGTAGGCTACAGGGTATAAGGGATTCGAACTGTAGACTTGTCGGGTAGGAGTCTAGATAGTCCAGAGGTCGTAGCTGTAGACTGTCCGAAGGGTCAAAGTCGTAGCTGCTACTTACCTGAAAGGGCAGAGTCGTAGCTGCTACAGTACCGAAAGGCCAAGGAGAGGTTTCTAGAAGTGGCCTTTCRGAAGTMAGCCCACTGTAGGTCTAGGCAAGTGGGCAAGTGGTGGAAGTCCACCACGCAGAGTCAGCAGTCCCAGTCCAGTCAGTCCGGTCCAGTCAAGCAAGTACCRTCTGGGACTGTGTACACCGTGGGCCAGGGAAACAGGGCAGACCAACRAGTCACAKAAGTATAAATCAAGAGGYTGCGCACARCCATTCATTCATTYCTGCRGAAGCCATGCGGAAGCGCTGCCTCAGCGTCTTGTGCGAGGAGGTCTGCAGTAGGCCCGAAGTCGAAGTGGGCGAGAGTGATGCAGTGTAGCCATAGCGATAGGGCAGAGGCAGCTAGCGCTGCCATAGCTGTAGTCTAGGGCGAGGTGTGTGTGTGTTGTGTGAGTGTGCAGAGTATCGTGTGTGGGACATCCAGGGTGATCCTGAGTGTGTGAACAGTGGGATGTTGGGCGCTCAGTCGCCCTAGCCAGTGGAAGTGAACTTACCTGGAAGCCATATCTCTGAGTATTGTGTGGGCGCATGTCGCCAGTTTGTTGTGCTGCTGTTCACGTGCATGAAAGGTGTGAATAAGTCGAGTCTGATTGCACAAGATTACATGAGAGCATTTAATGATAGTGTTGAGGATACCGAAGCCATCACCCAGCTTCGGTTAAGAGAAAGATTTCGGAAGAAGAAGCTATTAAGAAGAGGACGCGAGAATTCATGAACCACTACTCACCAACCTTACTTCTACCAGACCCTACATTCCAAGTGACGCTATCACCTTACTGAAACCAAACGGAGCTGTCCTGTTCTCACTACCAGGTCTAAACTCGGCCTCACGCCCCCAACATGCTAGGCTACAGGGCAGTGACCCACCTCTTTTTTTTTCTTTTTTTTCTTTTTTTTTAACAGAAACAGCTCCATCTATTGGTGGGGAGCATCACCTGCTGGAAAACGGGTCGGCAGTGACCCACCTCAGCTACGAGGAAAAGGAAAAAGGAATCTTGCACGTTTCAGCGGAGCTGGGTTTTTTGTTGTTGTTGAGAAGTCCCCTTAAGTCCTCCACTTTTCCAATGCTCACGCCTGGCATAAACCAAAAAAAGAAAAAAAAGGGCGACAGTATTTTTTTTATACCAGAATTATTTTACACTGTTTGTGAGTGGATTCGAACTCGGGCCTGTACTCTCTTCACAGGTACTGCTGCTGTAAGAGCCACAGATACTTCAGCCCTCCTCTGCTGTAAAAAGAAAAAGAAAAAAGGGCGATGGCCTTGAGATTACCCTGCAACTCACTACTAGAGGAAGTGATATGAACCCCCCCCCCTCCCCCCCACCCTAGTAGCTGCTTCAGGTTACTCCAATCTGTTGGTGGGGAGTGTTACCTGCTGGAAATCGGGTCCAACGTCCCTGACTTCACAGATTATGCAATTGCCGGGGTCATTACCTGGCTTCGGCTATTAGGGTGGCCTCCTCAGCCCAAACGGCCGCCATATGATTTTCCATCCGCCCTAGCCACCCTAGCCTTGGCGAGGCCAGTCTGACTACTCCGGCTACGGTGTCTGCTGTAAGGCTGTACTTGTACCAGGGGAGGAGGCCGTTGTGCGTTCTGGGGGGCACGAGGGCACCAACCACCTCCTCTCCTCTGCCGTTTTCCCTGAAAATGCTGAGTAAAGCATGTTGCCTTCAGCCGTCCGGGCCTGCCTCCATACTCGTTGTGGTGTCTCCGCTAGGGACAATGGACGAGGAGGAAACGGGTCTGGGAAGTCAGCTGCCGGTCGGAGGGGGATGGCCGGGTCAACCGCTGTCCAGTCTTTGAACCTGAGCTGGTGGGTGCGCGTCACCTCTGTGTCTTCTTCCCGGTGCCTTCCTTCCACATCTCCTGACCAAGCCACGTCTGCAACCCATCCTCCTCAGTCCCCCCCCAGCCAGTCGCAGCAGAACTGAGTTACATTTTTAGCTTGCTTGCCACCTCTGTGCTAGCTTTCCCGGGGTACCCGGCCGGGCGCCCCGGGCGTCTTGCCCAGGGGGGGACCATGCCCGGGGTAACCCGGGCATGCAAAAAATGCACTGTTTTTTTTTTTTTTTTTGGGGTTCCGGTGCCTTTCTGCGCATTCCAAGTACTGCCTATACCCGGCCTCGTTTCTTTTTTTTTTTTTTTTTTTAAGTCATCCTTGCACAGGGGCCATGCTAATCTTCTCTGTATCGTTCCAATTTTAACAGATGTCCCGAAGGACACCCGGCCTCGTTTCTGATTTCTATTAATGTGGATTTTTGTGTGTTTTGGGGGCAGCGGTAGAGAAAGGAGGGTGAGGGGAGGGGGTGCAGGAGCGGGGTGGATCATGGGTTGTCCGTTTTGCAGGACTGGGGATGCAGCAGCTGCTGTGTCCCGCCTGTACTTGAGCAGCTGCTCAAAGACAGGCACAAAGAGGGGAGGAGGAGGGAGGCGATGGAGAGGGGAGAGGGAGCGCCGCTATGAGAGAGGAGGGGGGCTATGGCGGCCGATGACGTGGAGCTGGTGGGGAGGTACGGCGGAAGAGGGAGGGAGGGTGTCACAGAGAGGGGAGGAGGAGGCGACGGCGACCCAACAACAACAACAACAACAACAAGACGAAGAAGACGAAGACGAAGACGAAGACGAAGACGAAGACGAAGACGAAGACGAAGACGACGACGACGACGACGACGACGACGAAGACGAAGACGACGAAGACGAAGACGAAGACGAAGACGAAGACGAAGAAGAAGACGAAGACGAAGACGAAGACGAAGACGAAGACGAAGACGAAGACGACGAAGAAGGAGAAGAAGAAGAAGAAGAAGAAGAAGAAGAAGAAGAAGAAGAAGAAGACGAAGAAGAAGAAGAAGAAGAAGAAGAAGAAGAAGAAGAAATAAAAAAGAAGAAGAAACGAAGAAGAAAAACACAGAGAAGAAACAAAGAAGAAGAAGAAGAAGAAGAAGAAGAAGAAGAAGAAGAAGAANAGAAATAAAAAAGAAGAAGAAACGAAGAAGAAAAACACAGAGAAGAAACAAAGAAGAAGAAGAAGAAGAAGAAGAAGAAGAAGAAGAAGAAGAAGAAGAAGAAGAAGAAGAAGAAGAAGAAGAAGAAGAAGAAGAAGAAGAAAATAAAAAGAAACGAAAAAGAAGCAGAAAAAAAGGAAGAAGCAGAAGAAGAATAAGAAGAAGAAGACAAAGCTTACCTTCATGGAGATGGCGCGCGGCAGCACTCGAGGGAGTCGGCGAGAAGGCAGCAGGAGGACGATGACAGCGCGGCAGCAGGACGACGACGGCGCGGCAGCAGGAGGACGGCGACGGCACGGGACGACGATGAGCTCAACGAAGGGCGGAGTGGGCACCGGGGGGGGCAGATCGGCCCAGGAAGCTGCGCACGCCATCGATCTTCGGCGATCGACGGCCAAAAACGATTGAAAAAAAAAACTTCGAAAAGGGGCCTACCAGGCCCCGAAAAATTGAAGTTTCGGTGTGAAAATGTTTTTGGCTTTGCAGGCCAACGGTCGGCGGCGCAAAAAAAAAAAAAATTGACGTCGTTTTCGGTACGGCGCTGAGGGGGTCCGGGTCCCTGGCCGGGGGGGTTGCATGACCGAGCGCCCCGAGCGCCATTTCGGGCGGGCCCCGGTGCCCTGGGCGCCCGGGGGAGGAAACCTAGCCTCTGTGTCAATTCCAACTGGATTTGTTGTTTACTCCGGTCAGTTGTCTTTCCCCCATCCACCTTTTCTCCTTCAATGGTTAGCACACATCATTTCCACCAGAGGCCCCCCAGCATTGCCCTTCCCCCCGAGCTAAACATGTTCTCCGTAAAGGTATCTTTCTGGAGGTCGGGGCAGTGCCCAGCCAGGATGGCCCTCCAGTCCCATGGCCAGGTGGACCCGAGGACAGTCTGCTGCCAGATTGTGTCCCACCACCTCCATGTCTGGACTGAGGGGCATTGCAGGAAGATGTGCTCGATGTATCGGCTCTCTTGTGTGTACGGTAGCACCGCAGGCATCGTGTGCACCAGGGGAGCGCTCCGCCCTATTGCTCGAGGTCATTATTCGTGGGTAGGCATCGGTGTGCAATCTGCCACTGCAGAGATGTGATTTTGGCAGGCTTTCTCTTGGCCTCCTGAAACCATCTGGTAGGTTTGAAGTGGTGGCTGTCTATGTTGAGGTGCTGCGTCCACAGACCATCGATTGTGTCCCGCGGATTGCTTTTGACCCTCACCATCTTATATGCTGCCATTACTATGGGCTTAGATAGTTGTCTGAGTTTCTGGTTAGCAGTTCTCCTAAGGGGGGCCCAGGCCGTTCCACTTCCACTCAAAAGGATCGATGGGCAGCTTTGAGATTGGGATGTCTGGTCTGAATGCTCTCCCCATCATCTAGAACTCTAGCCCTGAACACTCGGTCCTTGTCTATCCATTCGAAGGGTTTGTGATTACCTATTAGCTGGCCCTCTCTTCCCATAGCATAGTCCTCAACCAGCACGTCATCCTCCGCACCATGTGCACTAGTCCCACTGCTGTTGGGTCATTTTTCTGCACTATCAAATCCCTTTCTTGGAGCGTGGGTCCTTTTCGGAGGATGAGGTACCATGCTATGGGGAGGGCATTTATCATCTCTTGTAGTGTCTCTTCTGTATGATGACAATATCGCATCCTTCCTCTAAGCTGTGCTGGTGTCTTCCAATCCCGGGTGCCCTTATGCCACATGTCCCCCTCCCCTTCTTTTACCCACCCCTTCCACTGTGAGTCCGAACTGCACATAACCTGACTGTGTATCGGTGATCCAATGGTCGCCAAACAGGGGTTGCCTGGCAACCTCTTCCAATCGCACTGACGCTGGGCGGGCTGGGAGTGGTAGCTTCCTCCAGGTCCTGAGAAGTCGTGGCCAGAAATTGTCGCAGACTAGGTCCCTCCGAAGCTCCGGTTCGGTCTCGGCTCTACCGCGTGCCTCGCGAGGGATCCTCCAGTACCGATCCTCCAGCCAGGTCAGCGGGTCATTGGCGGGGGGGGGGGGGGGGGGGGGGGGGGGGGGGGGGGTTGGGGCGAGTCTAGAGATCTGTGCTAGGGCCAGGGGCTGCCATAGGTGATGATTGTCAATGATGAGGTTCTTGATCCACTGCACACTCAAGACCTGGACTTGTGTGAGGGGGTCAATTATCCCAAGTCCTCCCTGGGCCTTGGGCTGAATGACCGAGTCCCATGCGACCCGGCTAATGGCATGGTTATGTTCACTGTCCACTCTCCATATGAAGGCGGCTACCTGTTTTTTTGTGTGTTTTAAGTTATGACTGGCCCAGTGGCCATAGCATCGATTTGTACCAAAGTGTGGCCAGAACCACATTGTTGATTACTAAGGCACGCCCAAAGAGTAAAGTGTGCTTATTGTTTCAAGTAGGCTGAAGCAGGAAGTTCGGCCAGGTCAGGGGTCTTTGATCCAGTCATCATTTGTCACTGGCTTACCCTGTGCTGTCATTGACACACCCAAGACTTTGACCAGGGCTTCCAGAGGCAGCCAAGTGATGCTTGGGGTGTTTGGAGGGCGGCCCCCTTGAAGATGCATCCACCACCCCAATGTTTTGTGGCCCCAATTGATTGCCATCTCCAACAGCCGGCAAAACCGGTCCATTAGTCTCTGTATTTCCTCAACTCTTAGGTAGAGTTAGTGTCTTATTGGACGCCTGACCTGACGGTTGGTTGCCTTTAATTCAAAACATCTAAACCTATATGGTATGGAAATTGAATTCGTTGAGGTTGATGTAAGCGGAAATGAGCCACTTGTTTTGGTTTGGGTAGATTTCAATAGCGCCACGGATTCAAAAAGTAATAACAAGAATATCGAGCCCAATAGCAGATTCTGCAGCAGCTAACGTAAACCATCTCACTGCTGATATGGCTCGGCTTCCGAACCATACATGAGACTTTCGCCTCATATGGCTCTTCTCAGAATCTATATTGATATTTGTTCTTTCTTAGTCTGACTTCCAAGGGTAGGATATTTGAGAGCCGCTGCCCCCTTGGTCGATTAGGGTTGCCCGGTCCGCAACCTCAATCAAGGAGGGGGTGGGTCGCCCCTCAGGGGGAGGTTGATAGCTCAGGGCTTTGTTTGTCTGATCTGTTTGCGATGTGTTTGATGATTGCTTGTTGGGGAGGATGATTTTCATCATAGATAGGCAGGAGGCCAATCCTTCCCTATTGCGGGGAGGTAATCAATGCCTCTGCTATCATGCTTTTCGCTAGGAAAATGCTACATAGTAGGATGAATGATCTCATCAACGATGGGGTGTCGATTGGCCCTCATGAGGAGGTCGGCTGGTTAGGGTATGAGTTATGTTTTGGTTTCCTTGTTGGGGTGATCGCTGAAGATGTTTCTCGTTACCTTTTCGCTGCGATCATACTTCATGGGCAGGAGGTCAATCCTTCTCTGGTGTAGGGAAGTAATCAATGCCTCTGCTCAACGATTACATACAGATTGGATTGTATGTGCACACTGACGTCTGCACACATCAGTGTACAGGGACGATGGGCCCGACTTCCTGATCACACCCATCACACCTTTTTTAAGGATTATAGTAGATAAGGAGGTAGGGTAGATAGGGTTCTTTCTTCATGTGTCATTTAGTAATTTCATAGTAGATAATGGAGGATAGGGTAGATAGCGCTCTTCCTTCATGGGTCATATATTGATGAACATATACACATACTACTGCATAGGGTCGCTGGGCCCGATTCCCAGCCGATACACAACACATTGTTTAGAGACGCTGGACCCTATTGTTCTGATCTCCAGCTCACACGCGTCACACCAAAGCTAGGGTTTCGTATCCTGATCTGATAGATAGGATTGGGCTTGATGCCTTGGCTCGTGTTTGAGAAACTGTAGATCAGATGGACAGGGTTCTCCCACCATCTGACATATATTGGTAAATGAACATACATACATAGTAGGAGATATCAACACATCTCTGTATAGGGACGTTGGAGCCGATTTCCAGCTGATACATTCACATCATTGTACAGGGACGCTGGATCCGGTTTCCAGCAGGTGCAGCTCCCCACCAATAGATGGAGCCTTCGACGCTGGGGCCTACTTACCGGGGATGCTCTTACCACCTCGTTAAGTAGGCTTCCTGTATACARAGTTAAAAAAAAAAAAAAAAAAAAGCCAGGCGACTGGAAGCTCAAGCGTTTCGCTTGGGATATAATCAACATTTTGTGCCTCCAGGCTCAGGCTTGATTTATCAATGTGAGACCAACCCTTCAGTGTCAGGGCTCCTGTTAAAATGATGAGGTGGTCTTCTCAGAAATCTTTAGCTGTCGGTCTGTCTCTTATACACATCTAGATGTGTATAAGAGACAGGATGATGGCAATGGTTATAGACCCGTCGAGTTCA